TAACTAGAATTAAAAACCAAGCAAAAAAATCAGCTTTTATTATTATGGGATTTTCCTTTTGATAATTTTAAATGGAAATTGAGTTTATTTATTCCAGGGTTGCACTTTAACAGAATTATTTTTATTTACTTTGAAGCAATGCTGGTACAATTTCTGTTTTGTTTTTTTTCCCCTTTTTCAGACATTTGCAGCAATGGATGGAAATGATCCTGTTGCTAGAAAAACAAAAGGCATAGTTTGTTAGGGGTTCTGTCCACATTTGTAAGAGTGTCATGCAAGTGTTGAGGAATGTTCTAAAAAAGAGTATGTGGTTACCAGTTTTTTATTTGCAAGTTAATATTAGAGCAATTAATACATTGATATCTGTGTTGCAAAGTATCTTTTACAGAAGCAGTGATGATCCAGTTGGGTCATGTGACTTTTAAGAACAACAAATCAATTGAAAATGTTTTTACTGGTGAGATTGAATGACTTTTTAGAGTCTGCATTTTTCCTTTGTTATGTTAGCAAACTATGGACTTTTTTAAAGAAATCACATTTTAAAAATGGATTAATGACCGGACTAACAAAGAAGCCTGTAAAGAGCGGGAAATACAAAATTGAACACAGAGATGGACGTATCTCGGAAGTTTCAGGTCTGAGTATTATCTTCATCACTTCTGCTTTAGCCAGTTGCTGCAGAAGTCTCAAGCTTTATGGCATGATCTCCTGTCTGCTTTGTGCTGAAGCAACCGTGACCTTGTATTATCAAATTTATTCACTGTATTTTTCAAAAACTGCAGTAGTGGGCGGGAGTTGTCATTTTGTTTGTCTTTTTTCTACCTCGAAGGGTCTATACAGATTATTCTTTAACCCAAATAATTTCAGTGAAATGGCAACACGTCCTTACAAACAGCACAGCTTGAAGTATAGAGCTGCAGTGTAGGACAGAAGTGATAGCTGATACGGAGGTGGAGAGTGTGCTCATCTTAGATGAAGGGCCTGCTTGTCAGAAATGGTAGTTTGAGGAAAATAGACATGGAATGGTACTGCGGATCTCTTACATCTTCATATGTTATCATTACTGTAGTATCAACATGCCAGATTTCGCTTTACTTCAACTTTAAAAATCAGAAATGAGGTTGTAATTTTTAGAAGTGTTTGTTAACAGTATGTTTCAAGAATTCTGTTGTAATGGGAAGTGACTCTACACACGCTTTGAGGGGAGGAGGCTGGTGATTTATTTTCTTAGGATGGATTGTTTCTAAACCAGTCCCTAGGTCACTAGACATTTGACATTTGCACACTTGTTTCTAAGAAACACTTCTTTTGTGAGATAGTCCTTTATTTTGTGGGAATTTTGTGTATTTCCTTAGGCTGGAGAGTAATTATTATTTGGTGAAAAATCAGTCATCTGTCTGTTATGTTAGTTCCTATGCCCTTCTTCCAAAATACTTGTAGGAGAGGAAGTGCTTGTTTGCATGGTTACCCTTTTAATTCTTGTGTTCCATAAGCTTGTGAAACTATATTTTTGAGTAGCATTTTCCTTGATTCTTTTGTGAAAATGACCTGCTGACTTGAGTTGATTTGTGTCATTAGCAATGTGAACTTTAGAGCTTGCTGCATCTAAAATAAAAATTAAATTCTATGGCAGAAGTACTTGTTTAGCCTTATTAGTCACTGGCTGAGATAGTTGAGAGTAACCATACTGAAGATGATTCACAGAATGCTTTAACATCTGATTAGGTCAGAGAAAAGAAAATCTGATTCAGGGAGTTATTTTTCCACGTTCCAAAATAACGTATTTTGTGGTGCCATTTCACTGAGGGTTTTATGTGGTAAGAAAGCGAAACAGTGCTTAAGGCTAGAAGGGGTGAGTGATGCTTGCCATCTGGAACTTGTCAGAGCAGCTAAAGCCAGCCTTGCAAGCAGTACTTGGTGACTAGGTGACAACATCGTGTTGACAGAATCTCTATAGCTAGTGAAATAACACATATATAAATACAAATGAGATGAACGGTTTAATGTCGAGTTAACGAACTGAATGTTTACTTGTCATTATCAATTACAAGACTTAATTATGCTGTGTACTAATAAATAAGATTATTCTTGCTGAAATCTCCTGATGTGTTTTCTGTCAAGGTGCAATAGAACACACTGAAGAGTTTGACCAGGAAGCAAGTTTCTGTTGAACGCTGATGTTTGGGATTTTTCCTTGTTATTCTGGTTAATTACTTCGTACCAGAGTTTTCCTTAGAAACAGAAGATAGTAAAATATGCGTAGATCTGATCAAAAGATGTGTGTTTGTATAAGGAGTGGCTGGTTTTGTTATCAGGGGAGGTAATCAGAACTGTGTATCAAGCCGGTAGGCAGAGAGAGGGGCAGATCATATTGCGATATACTGAGGATGCTTTGCAGACTGGACAATCCTGCCTCTGAGTAGCACCATGAGTAGGGTGTCTGGGGGACAGAGGCTGGAGTTCATGTGCTATGTGCTGTACTGCAGGCGTTTCAGTTTCATAATGAACTGGAATAACAAAACAGCTACGTGTTTGTATGGTGTTTTTCAGTAATCCTAGAACAGTCATAAATAGTCAAGAGATTTTTAGTCTGTTCTATAGTACAAATAGTATGGGTTTAAGTGACAGTAGGGAATTGATAAAGTCAGAAAGATTAATTTTATCACGGAACAAGTCCCTGTGGAAGAAGCAGCAGCACGTTACACCACAGCCTTCCATTGAGGCTACATCCAGTCCTAGATGTAGGTTATGTAATTAGTCCAGTTAAATCATAATGTGTCTAATGTAATCTAATTCAAAAGCTGGCAAAGAATAGGTTGAAGGCAGAACTGTCAGCAGTTACAACTGTACAATAAAAGCAGCAATGCTTTTTCTCAGCCTGACTAGCTGCTGTAATCTGGCTTTCCATAAACAGTGTTGCTGACTGTACTACTAAGGTAAGTGTTTTTATAGAGGATGAATTGTCTGGGTGGTTTTTTTTCAGGCTACACTGTAGCCTGAAATACTTTCAGTATTTGGTGGCAAACATCCACCTATTTTTACTGAATGCATTATATAGTAATTTCTTTTTGAGAATGTAAAGGGTAGCAATAAACAAGCAGCAAAGAAAGTTCTAGAACTAATTTGGCACCAAGTGTCTGTGCCTTTGTACCTGTTAGCTGTGCTATTTTTGCAATTCATGATGGTAAAAATGGACTTTTATTAGCCTCCAACATTCCCACACAATGCACAATAAAGTTTCAGTATTTTGCTGTATAGTAATTTAGAATATGCTTTTTTTGTTGTGTTCTGAAACTCAGTGTGAGTTCTCACATCAGAGAATGCTGGGAAGTACTGGGGACCATACATGAGCAGCATTTTTCTTGTTTTGTTTGAACCAGCCCACACCTATGAAGGATTACTCTGAGCAAGATCAAACCTGCCATGTCTTCTAAACTCCTCCTTTGTGCATGGAAATCAAAATGAGGTTATGCTTTTCTATACTTAGATTACAGGGTCTTATGCTTTGTTTCTTCACTTTAAATTCTTACAACAGTGCTAAAATTAAGCCACCATGTTCCTCATGGAAGATAAATGCCAGAGAGTGAAAAGGATTCATCTATATTATACATTTGGCTTCTACTTAATATAATGAATATATAAGAAATACCGTTGTAATGGAACACAGCTTTCCTACCTCTTTGCCTGTGTACTTGGACATTGGGATTAAATTAATTCTGGGGATATGTTAAGTAGTAGAATGCCTTTTACTCCTCACACAGTTTTGCAGACCGCAACATTTTTCTTGGTGATTGCCAATAAATCTCATTTTGGATTTGAAAAATGTGTCCATCTCAGTGTTTTGTTTAAAAATTTTTACACTTTGACAGTCTTCATCAAAATGACATACCTGGTGTTAACTGCTCTTTGTCATCCCTGTAAAATCACAGTTTTCCCATGTTCATAGAAAAAGATGTACTATTGCCTCTTGATTCTGTGCCTAAAATTACACCATTATCTTACGGCACTGTGTGCCAAATACTATCATGAATCATTGCTGAGCTGCATGAGGTGAAGGAGAGGTGAGTGGCACAGCATATCCTTCCTGACTGCTACTGATTTTTGTACTTCCACTTAACACTGCTGTTATGTAAGACACTTAGCACAGTTGCTATCTGCTAACAGTTTGGTTATATTGCTAGATGTGTTCACAGCTTGTTTTGGTTTGTGTTTGCATATTAACTTAAACTGTATTTCCTTTTAATGGCAGTATGCCAGACTTCATAATGATGTAACTGACTTGAAACTTAAAACAGTATGTGTGCATGAAAGAAGGAAGAGAACTTGCCTGCTGAGTGAGGCAAAAATGGTTACTAGAGCTAGAATAGAAGGCTGGTTGGGTAAGTCGTGCTTCAGGAATAAAACTGCCTTTGCAGTGTGACTAGGCTGTATTTAGCCTAATAAAGAGAGAGGTGTGATTTTTGTACCCAAATCTCATCAGCTGTTAACAAGAGGGTGGTAGCAAATGCTTTTTTTGACGTTTGAAAGTTCTCCAAGAATACTTTCTTAATTATAAATAGGAGTTGGAGGGGAGGTAGAGAGTAGTCTGCAGAAAAATGCTCAATAAAGTCTTGAACATGTGTTAGTGGTAACTTTAGAATTGCCTGTGGTTCGTAAGTGTATGATAATCACTTAATAGTTCTATTTGCTATAAATAAAAAAGTAGCTGACTGCTCTGTCTTCCTTGACTACAGAATAATGCAGGGTAACTTTTCAGATATGCATTTTTCTTTCCCACTGGTAACAGGAGTGTTTAGCTAATTAGATAGCTAGGCCTTTGACTTAGGTGGGGTAGCAAAAGATTTTTGTTTAATTATAGTTTCACATGTTTTCCTAATAAGAGAAAATTGTGCTTTGAAGGCCTATTTTTATTTAGGTTTTCAGAATGCTCCTGTGTAGTTCATATTGTGTGTAGTCTTTTTTTTTCTGTTTCAGTACAGCCGTTTCTTCTTTGTTCATAGGTTTTAGAAAGCTTTAAAATCATGGATTACAGCCTGCTTCTGGGAATCCACATAATGAACAGTAACATGAAGGAAAAAGACGGAGAGAGTTCCCACAGTGCATCGGATGGGAAACGGCCTGGAGGGCAGAAAGTTCTCTATTCCACAGCCATGGAATCAATACAGGGCCCTGGGAAATCAGGAGACACTGTCAACACAGAGATAACAAACACGTAAGTACCATAATCTACTCTTAAGGTTAGTATCAAAAGATATACATTTGGTTTCTTCACTCTGAGCTACTTGGTATTAAGAAGCAAAAGATTCAAGAGTACACTGCATTTCAGGAATCGAAATTTTACACCTGTGTTGTTTTGTGGATTGTGTTTTGGTTTTGTTTTGGGGTTTTTTTGTGGTATTTTTTTTTAAAAACTGGACCATCCAGATTTACTGCAGAGCAGGAAATTAAAGTGTTGATTAGTAGATTGATTGTCTTTAAATACATGATAGCAAATTTGATTAGTTCAGAGTGACTTATGTGCATGCAAATGAATTCATTTACAAAAGAGATGTTTTAAGTCAGCTGTTACAAGAGTCCTAGGCATAATCTAATTTTAACTGGAAGCAGCCTGATGAGCCATAAGCAAAAGCTATTCAACGGCATTGAAATGGATATTCCTACAGTGGTTATTTTCATCTCAAATTAGTGTACACGATATGTAGAACCATACTATCAGCCACTGAAGTGCAGTCATGTCCATGTACAATATTTCCTGATATTAAGAACTACTGCTTTCCTTTTATTTTCCTAGCTAGCAAAAACTGAAGTAGGTATTTAAGTATATAGGTGGTTATTCTATTGTTCCCTTTGCGGTACATGCAATAGTTAGTGGTAAAATGCAATTGTTAGCGAGAGCATTGTGTGCATCATCTTCATTCTATATAACCGTTCAATTGTAATGAGAGTTTAACTCCAAATTAAGGATTTACTCTTCTCCTGGTTCTCAAGGAAGCTGTTTGAATAAATACAACTAATGGTATAGAAATCTGTGGTTAAACCTACAGCAAACAAATGGGAGAATTATGATATTTAGCATTTAGAGAGTTTCCAGATGTTCACAGCTGTAGAATATAAATTAGAACAGAATTTCACTTAAGTTTTACAGCATTACTCAAATTAGCACCAAAGATGGTGAATGCTCTTTAATGGTGGCATAGGTGTTCCACTGGCAGTTTTGGGTCATGTCAGGTTTTGGTTTCAGGGTTTTTTTTGTTGTTGTTTTATTTTTGAACCAAAACCCAAAACTAATTTATTGGTTACCCAAGAAAGTTGCTGCGGTTATGTAGGGGAACCCCCTCTTGTTTC